ATTCTGGGAGTTGAAGTCCTCCAGGCTTAAAGTTGCCAAGGTTGGAGACCCCTGATCTATAGTGTGAATAAGTAATGCTACTCTTACAATAAACGGTGCGACCACAAAATAATTTTATTCTAAGCAAAGAATTAAAATGGAATGGATTCAGCGAGACCTAGAATTTGAATTTGCTATAAATGTTAGCAAAACCTGTTTCCGTATACATTTTTTTTCCCATTTGTTATTGCCCCCACTTAGTGCAAGTTTTTCATATGTATTGTGTTGATTCTTTCCCCAGGTAAATTCATGAACATTTTGAAGCAATATTACTTGCTAGAAGATATTAAAGGTATGAGAGCCCTTTTTAATTCTTGTAAACAAAATCAGTTTTGTGGTATGAAGAGGTTGATTGCTGTATCCAGTTAGAGGTATAGTTACTATACATCATTTCCCCATTTATTTAACTAATTCTATGAAACCTGTATTCATAGACCAGGGTGGATTTGATTTAAATCGCTAATAAGGCGGCTTGATTTAAATTAACTTGATTTAAATATTTTTTTGAAGAACAACTGTCATCTCCGTCCCACATTGGCTCCTCCTCTGACCTGCTGTTGACTCACCAACAGTCCCAAAATAGCACAATATATAGCCTCATGTTACATAACTAAGCTCCATTCCATGCTGAAAACTATATTTAGATAGATTTTTACTCCAAAAGCATTTTATTAAAATAAATGTGATAAAAACAATCTGGTTTAGATTAAAAAATGATTTTTTATTTTTTTAAAACCATCAATTTTTATCCACCCTGTCATAGACACACTAAATCATGGTTTACTTTGATTTATTAAATAACCCATTATTGACTTGCTTGGGTAAAAATGTAAATGCTAAATCAGGGTACAATAATTATTTTACACATTATGCTAAGCCACGAAACCAGAAGCCACTTTTGAGTGTTGAATGAGTGAGTGTAACTAAGTAATGGTGCAGGGGTGTATTAGGAAAATTAGTTATTGAGCCTAATCACCCATGTAAAACCTGTCTGATGGGGCTAGGTTTATAAATTACATTAACTCCCCATTTATTTAACTACTTCGGTGAACAACCCAAGTCAGCCTAGTTCATAACCAACCTTTTAATACTCCAGCTATTGTAAATGTGATCACTCCCGATAAGCTGCATGTGCCCTCCCTGTGGTTATTTTTAACTAAATTTTGTACAATCTCTAAAGGAAACTTTTTCAGTCTGTTATTATTGTATAGCCATAGAAACTGGTTACAGATGCGATAAGCACAGTAACGCTATTCTACCAGTTCAGCCCTATTCTGGCGTACAAGTAGCACCAAAGATCAGCTGAGACCAAACCGATTATGACGAGCTGCTGTTGGGTCCACCCGCCTGCTCTGGCTCCCATACTGACCTTTATTCCCTGCTTTTGAAGCGCAGCTGCTTTGCGCGGCACAGATTGCCACGCGTCAGCTGTTGAAGATACAGGGTTTGCAGGAGGCGAGTAGGAAAGCCCCTGTGCGTGTGCAAAGTGTGCCCATCAAACCAAGCCCAATGAACCGGTGGTAAACCTCTTTGAAACCCACCACTGGATAAGTACCATATTGAGCCTGCACTACTCTGTATTCCATAATTCGCAATCCACAATGAATGAATTCACTTGTTCCACTAAGAAGAAACCATATCCTGACTTAGCAAAATGTATGAACTAAGCTTATGTTTTGAGGATTTAGTAGATGCCTTTTTATGTCATTGTCCACTGATTGATTGTTGTACATTAAAACAGGTGAATATTTTAATATTTCATATGGCATTCTGTAAAGCTGAGACAACCAGGTGATCTACTAAAGCTCCCACTGGACTTAATTTGTTTAGATTACATCATGCTGTTGATAAAGTGTATATGTGATTTCTAGGGAAGGCATCCTCAGGATCTTCATGGGAGACAATGTAATCATATCCAGAGTTTCCACACAATGTATTTTCTTTTGTTTAATAATGTTTGATTCTTGGAGACGCTGGGACAAAGCCTGCTGTTTTAGCAAGGTTTTTCAAAAATAGTTTACCACTGTGTCCTTCCTAGGACTGAGATAAAAAGACTTACCCAGTTGGCTTTGTGCCCAAAAAAAGAACTAGAACTCGTAATCTCCTGATTTCTAACCCGATACCTTCTATGCCAGACTGATTCTCATGAATGTACCAAATGTTTAAAGTAGATCAGAAAATAGCTTTTTTAAAATATGAGATAAATGTAAAGGACTGAAAAAGTTGCATAACTAGCTATGGTATTTTCTGGAGAAAACTGAACTATTAAAATACAATTCCCTTGGAAATTTTACCTACTTATCTAGCTCCCCCATATTCCCTGAATTACTGCTTTGGCAAATATAATTGTTATAATCATTATTTACAACTGTTTAAGCATTGGATACTTTCCGTATGCAGCTGTAAACAAAATTGCAGAACCAATATTAGGATCTACTTCAGGTTTTTTTAAATAATTGAATATCTTCCCATCAGAGTTATATAATGAAGTATTTATTTTTTTTGAAGGTTAAACGGAAATGTGTGTAAGTCTATGTAATCTAACTATTATCATTGTAACTTTAAATGTCTAATAGATAATTTCAATATAATTTGTTTGGAGATAGCAGTTGGCATCGAGAAACTTCAATCTGTACTAATACATATCCTTTTTGCAGTTTGTTCTGGAATTTCCTTGTCCAATTGAATAGAATCCACCGGGCTGCTTTTAGTTTCCATTTGCTCATCCAATTCCCTTTCAGAATGCTTTGTTTTTTTCAAATTTGGTTGTTCAATGCGTCCTCTGCGCACAAAATGACTGATACGAGATTCTAGACCTTCACATTTGGGCCGATCCATTAATGGTTTGTAATTGCGGGCTTTCACTCCCTCGATTAAAGCACTAATATGGTTGTGGACTGGTGGCGATACCTCTCTCCAGAGTATTGTTGTGCTGTTGCTTGAAGCTGTAATCAACCATTATCATCAGAACAAAAAAAAACAGCATTTAATTTCCTAATTGCTTCTGATCTTTGAAGTAGTTCTAAATATATTGGAACTTGTTAGAATCACTCTATCCAACAATATAGTTTTAATATATTGCTGGGTATATTAAACAAAAAGAAATGGTTCTTTAAAAACAAAATGCTCATTAAATATGAAGAGAGTTGTACATGTATATAAAATAACAAAATTGAATTTTACAGATAGACCAAAGTATACAGTATACCAGCAATCTACCACATGGTAAATTGAAGGTTCGTTTTAATACAATTTTTAAGAATATCATTCTTCCTACCTGGCTCTGTAGGTATCTTTGCAAAATCCAGGCCCCATAACATGCTGTAAAGCACCTGACTTTTAATGGCGTGGTTTGTCCAAAGCTGCTGAAAGCGTGTAACATTAAATTCCTGGACTTGATGATCATAGTTCCACTGGATGTTTTCAAACTCACAATCATATAAAACTAGAGGAAATTCCACTGCCATGCTGCAAAGTAATCAAATTAGTATAAATCAGGTAATTCCAACAGAGTGCACATAGCTTTGAAAATGTTATAGCTCTTGACAACAGATCAAAATTATAAAACATAATTTTAACAAGGGAAGCTCAAATATAGAGAGCCATTGACAATACAGTAAGATTGTGCATGCTTTCGGAAATTCCTACCTGTATTGTGGTTTCCTAGGATTGGTTTCTATATCAAACAGTTCATCAATAATCTCTGGCTTTTCCATCCTTTGTCCAATCAAGAAGAGAATGGCCATCATGCAGCGGACTTGGTGATAGAGGAATGCTTGGCCTGTTACTTCAAATGCATACAGTTGGAAAGGGTTTAGTTCTTCCACTTTCCTTTCTTGATCTGCAAGCTTCACTTCTGCAGTCAGGATTGTCCTCTGAAAGTTGGTCACACCATTGGCTACGTCCATTTTGCAGAGATTACGAAAATCATGGGTCCCTATAAATCTTTGAGCTGCTGTATTCATAAGAGCGACATCCAGATCAGCATGAGGGAAAAAATAGCGATAGGTCCTCTTCAGGCAACTAAATCTAGCACTGAAGCTAGGATCTACAGGGGCCCATGCCAATACTCTTATGTCAGGAGGAAGTACCTGATTCAAAATATGGGTGTAGCGGATCTCCTCTGAAATATGACTTTTACCTTCTGTGACAACCCCAGATTTATTGTCTGAAAGGTTTGACCGGAGATCCAAAGAGATCACCTGAAAATTGCAAAAAAGTTGTGAGTCTAGAATTAGGCAAACATTTATTTTCTATTGAACTATCATTAACAATTTTCTTCTTTATCCAGTGGTGAAGAGCTTCCAGCTAACTGGCTGTGGTATAATTTTTTGATACACTGATATTTTCATGATTTTCTCGTTTATTTATAATGTATTCACAAGTGTCTCTTGTCCCAATAAAATATAATTATAACCAGAACCTGAATGCTAAAATACCACTATCATTGGGATTGCAATAGAATGAATTTTAATTTCATACCACAGATTCTGACATTGAGTGGACCACATTTCTATGACAATTTATGTCATGATATATTTTTGTCTAAATGACATTACTATAATTTCTTTTTCAGCCACTGGCATTCAGGATCAAACCAAACATTAGTGTAATTGAAATAACATTTCACAAATAATGTGCTTTTGCATTTAATAAATGTTAGTTTGCATTTAGCAAACATTTATGTATAACAACATTTTCCCACAGTCCATTAAAGCATTTTACTGCATAAAGGTTTTGGAATAGTTTTTCCTGGGAACTGCTCATTTCACTTGCTTTGATTAAAATTATTTTTGTTTCTTGTAGTAATAGATCTTTTCTAAATAGCTAAATCTTTTTTTGCAGAAATAGCTTGTCATCAGTTGCAGATCGATTCTCAGGCTCATCTTCTAATTTTATAATAGATGCACTCTTAGCTGACTCTTTACAAATGTTATAATTTAAACCATTGTAATGCATTAATAATAAATCAGTAGTTTTTGTTCTTATGTTCAGAGTTTTCTAACTGTTCAGTCGTCATGCTATATAGCAAACTGAGTTGTAACTTCATCGTGCAATTGACTAAATATCAGCTTAAACTAAATGATGGGAAACAGCCCAAATCTAACAAAGCACTTTAAATTATATGAGTTATAATAAGAGAGCTGTATTAGTCTATGATGGCAAAAAAACAACAACCACCAGGATTCTGAAAGCATCTTAATATCTAAAAATGTCATGAACAGTCGTAAGTTTCTATCAGGTGAATATGATCAAATGAGCTGTATCTCACAAAAGCTTGTCTTTTAATATTTATTAGTTTAGCACAATCAACTGACATAGCCTTTTAAACCGTTTGGGGGGGATTATTAGTTGCAATAACACAGATTCTTTGTGCCATCCCATCCTCATTTTAGTGTAAATTAAATATTAGACTTACTTGTCCAAATGCACTGACTCCCTTGTCTGTACGTCCACAGCGATGATAGTTAGAAGTCTGTCTGTTGACTACCAACCGAGTTTTTCCCAGAGCTTCAAACAGTTTCTCTTCTATTGTATTGTTGGTGTTCTCCTGGCTGGCAAAGCCCTGATATTCCCACCCTAGGTAGGCAATCTTGAGTGCCACATGCCTCTGGCCATACGCACTGAAATTGAACGGCCGCTGTGGACGTTTCTTCCCCTTTCCTGATGCTGGGACGCCATTCCCCTCGCCTGGGCCTTTTCTGTTTTCCAAGAGCCTGCCTTCTAGCCTTTGCACTGTCTCTTCCAGCTCCTGGATTCTCTTCAGTAGCCTTTCTGTTTCTTCTGTGCCTTTGGCCATTGGTAGAATGCTATTTAAAAAAAAGAATCTGGCAATATGAAAATGCAATAGTAGTAGAAAAGGATCTTTCTAGGAATAACCAAACAAATGCAATCTGTATTTGCTACTAGAAGCTACTCAGCTGGAGAAAATTAACTAGCTTGCTTGCCAATTGTTTCTGCGGAGAATGCTTGTTGGGATTTCATGAATTTCATTACTGAGAACTGAGTGTCTGCTTTTGTTCACTTACAGAAGAATCTGTTTTAAACCACCTTTATACTAGGATCCTCCATTTCCAAGCTGGCTAAAGAGGAGCAAAAGGAACCTTTTCCAGGTATGTATACTGATACATGAACAAATTAACCCCTGGCATCCTGATAGATAGTATTGTTTATTCAAAGACATCCAGACCATGTCTTTGATTAAGCAATGCCATTTATCGGGACTCCAAAAGAATTCCTTCTACGGCATGGTGTTCTGGAATGAGTCCGAGGGGCTCCAATCCTGATGGCATTCCAGAGAGCCTTAAAGACCTGATCCTTCTCCCAGTCATGGGCTAGACTGGTGAGTATATGATAGGCTTATCTTCTTGGCTAGTTCTGCCGTCTTGTTATTGTTGTCTTTTTCCTATATTAGTTATTTTTATATTGTGAACTCCCAGAGTTGATTGAAGTCAGGCAGTATGAGGTTGAATTAAATAAGATTTTTTAAAGCTGTTCTAAGTTGTTAAGGGAGGTGTTGGTTAAAAAGAAAAGGAAAACAAAACAAAAAAAACCAAATTGATTTCATTGGAAAGTGCATTATTTTGCTATCATTATTTAGAAAATAGGTAGGTATTGCAAAGTCACAAGTTATTTTAAAGGAAAACTGAAATTCCGATAATTACTGAGTTTGCAGAGGGGGGAAAGGACTTAAACAGCATTGACAAATAAATAACAAGTACAGTACTATTGTACATTCCTTCTTAGACCTACATGTGCCTTCAGAAATAAACTCCATCCTTGCTGTTTAGAATAATTGCAGACACCTATCAAGCTGTTGGAGCTACTACACCCCACTTACTTGCCCAGTCTAGGCACATGGACTTCTTGCTTTGTGACCCTGAGGTCTACCCTCCCACCTCAAAAAGAAAAAAACAAACAAACCCCCCAAATCATCTCTAGGAGAGGAAGGGATTGGGGTGAATATGCCTTTGCTGAAAAAGTTGGGTTTGGGATGTGCAGTAGATGTGTTTCAGTCTATCTGGCCAGAGGAGCTGGGGAGGGGCAGCCTTCACAAGGTGGCACAAAGGATGGAGTTTTCTAAACAAATAAGTTGACCTGATAGAGATGGAGTTGATAAATAAGCATGAGTTGTAAGGCATTTATGACTTAGCAGACTACAAACCTAGCTTGGTATCTCTTTTCCAGAATTCATAACTACCCCAGTTGAGAGAAGCAATGCAAGCCTTGATACAACCCAACCGATACAGATGGAACTCTACGAACAGGGAAGAACGGCTCAAAGAAGCTGCCATGGACTTTATTCGCATGTGTGCAGAACAGGGTGATGGTGATAGCCCAAGACAGCTTCAAATGGCCCCTCAGCTGGACCCCTACCCGAGAGCCTCGGTGGCCTCAGTGGCCAGACCTATGCTTCCTGCAATGATCAGGCAAGGTCAGACTGAATCCAGCTTCCAGTCAGACAACCTCAAGAATTCCAGAGTTTCAAAGAAACCTGTGATGAAAAGGAAAGTTCTGAGGCGAACACCTGACGGAGAAGTGCAAGTGACAGATGAATCTATCACTAGCGAGACAGAATCCAATAATCCAAGTGTTCAACAATCCAGTCCTGAATGTGAGAACTTAAATCAGAGAATGAATCTTCAGGAGGAGGAACAACAACAGTGTAATGAGGAGAACCAGCCCCAAAGTTCCCCTGGGTCAGTCTATTCCTGGAGTCCTTCAGAGGAAAGCCAGAATCAGTGTTCCAGAAGAGAGAGCCAGAGCCTCAGCTCTTCGTCCTTTGAGCAAGACTTCATCCTAACTGGCCACCCCAAGTCTTTCATATTACCAAAGTTGGAGCAGCTCAATCGGAACAGAATGAAGACCGATCGGGTTGCCCGTTACCTGGAACACAAGCACGACTGGGAATCCCTGCGGCTTCCAGGAGAAGACCCCAGGAAAGGGGTGCGCTGGAGCATTCGGGAACAGATGCTCTACAAGTCAGAATTGCCTCCTAAGGCTCAGCCTGTTTATATCCCCAACACTTATCTGGTGCCTACAGAGAAGAAGAGATCTGCCCTGCGCTGGGGAATACGCTGTGACTTGGCAAACGGTGTGGTGCCTAGAAACATCTACTCCTAAGAACCTGGAATCTTTAAATGTCATACACAGAAGAACTTAGTAGATCCCAAAGAGCTAGCTACCTCAAATATGCAGCTAAGCTCCTTTTATTTCTTTCCAATTCCAAACCCTACCCATTTAATCTTAAGATCTATCTTGAATCTGAATGCCTATTTTCTTGCAAAAGGTTTTTTAAAAGCTACCGTTGTCTCAGATCATATTATTTGAATGTAAATATTACCTTATAAAAGGCAGGCAAAAAAATGAAATCAAAATCTACTGAAGTATAGTCAAGAAAAAGGATCCTCTCGCCCCCAAGATACTTCACACACATTCCTTCTTTGAACTTTTAAAAGTTTTAACTTCTGGATGTATAGATTAAATTAAAGTTATGAAGTGAAATGATGATTGTATTCTTTCCAAGGGCAAGCTTCAGTTCTTCTGCTTTTCATCATGCATTAGAGTTGCTGTTTGGAGCTATAGAAGTAAACTTTTCTCTGTGATGAGATTAACTGGTATACTTGTATATGAAAGTTCTGTTTTACAGATACATGTCAGAATGCAGGATATTTTCTTCACTGATTTTTAGCAATATACTTCCCACACACAGACCTTTATCAAAATCAATCAGAATCTTATGAAAAATAATGTCATTTACTTACTGAAAAATACAAAGAATCCAGAAATAATTGAAATATCTGGGTTTAAAAAGACACTACAAAATCATTTCTAATGGGGATGTTTTGCAAACTTCAGATAAAAGGGGGGAGGTAATTCAGATAATGAAGGGTCCTTGGTGCTCTCTGAGCTTGGTTGTTTTCTTGCAAGCATTTCATTACCCAAACTAGGTGTCCTCATCAGTGCTAGTGATGATATTACCTAGCTTTGATAATGGAAAGTTTGCACGCAAAGGATCAAGGTTAGAACACCAAGAGCCCTTCATTTCACCCCATTTTCTCCTTTGTTAATTCACATAACTATTAGCAAAACGTGGGTAAGCAAAACTGCTCCTTTCTACAAAGCGTACACTTTGCAGCGTATTGCCCTCTGCGTGTATAGAATAACCACCTTCGTGCGCAACAAACTCGCACAAGTGGTACATTCCTTTATAAGACAGCACGCAGGCCGTTAGCTGCGCTCCGTTGACTTCGCCCCTGCCAAGCCTGGCTCTTGAGAGTGCCCACGTGCTGGCTTTTCTTAAAAGTTGCCAAGTTTGAGAAAAGTTAAAATATGGGAACGCTCGGGGCGTTGGTCGAAGAAGCTGCTTTAAATCAGAGGTCTCCAACCATGGCAACTTTAAGCCCGGAGGACTTCAACTCCCAGAATTCACCAGCCAACTTTGCTGGCTGAGGAATTCTGGGAGTTGAAGTCCTCCAGTTGGACCAGAAGTCCTTGGCTTAAAGTTGCCACGGTTGGAGATCCCTGATTTAAATGACTCTCCCTCCCCGCTTCCCAAGAGATCCTCTGGTGCCACCCCCACGATACCAGGAGCAAAGTGATCCCTCCGTCAATTCTGTAAAGCCGATCCTTCACCACGCGAAGCGCCGGAGCCCACTCCTTCCTCCGCGGGCTTTCCACGCGCACGTGGGTGGGAAGCGAAGACCACCGAGGGCCGTTCTACAGGCCACTTCCATACAGGAAATGACGCGTCTTGCCCCTATACAGAGCGGAGGTTTCTGGGAAGTGAAGTCTTTCGAGACCCCAGCGTGGCCTGCCGCAGAACGTCAAGAATTTTACGTCAGCAGCGTTTTCCCTCACCCAACCTAAACGGGCGTCCCTCAGCAATCTCTAGGCGGGTGGGGCGGGGCATATGAGGAGGACACCGAGGCTCCGCCCCTCTGCGATTTCCATAGCAATAGCGCGGTCGCTCCGCCCCATTCCAGCGGTTATAAATACTGAGCGGTGGCGCCATCGAGTCAGGCTTCGTCGTGTTGTTGGTCTGGTTGCGGCCTAGCTGCTGGGCCGCCCTCACGATGGAGGGCAAGATGTGGGCGAAGCCGAAGTACTTAGCGATGGGGCTTGGGGGGATGCCTAAGGGGCACCCCGGGCACGTGGAACACAACGTAAGAGCCAGGCGAGGGACGGATCAGAGAGTTTCCTCATCACACACACACATACATCTGCGTCCTGAATAATGGTGGGGGAAATGAAAGATGATCTTTGCACATGCCCAGAGGCTCTTCTGTTGCTGCTCCCTGCTAGAGGGCTGAAAGCTGGTTAAAAGCAACCGACTGGATTAGGGATAAATTCTGTTTTTCTTCATACAAAAAGTTTGCTGCTGCTCAGCCTCAGTTGCTGGCAGGTATAGTGCCTCTGTCCAGGGGGGGTGGGGGGGTCACATCACTTAAAAGTATGGATAAGTCTTCCACTGAAGTCTTTCTCATTCATTTATGGATGTATAGCTTTTGTCCACCAAAGCATTCCCAGTGAGGGTGATTCTTCCGCTCTTTATATTACTATTTTTTTTGTCATTGCCTCTTCTACTTTATTCTGCCTTGCTCTGTACCTAGCAATTCTTCTAAAACATAGCATTAATTTTAATTATGTTCTCCAGATGGATTACAGGTAGGCCTTGTTTAGCTTCGGCTTCGTTGAGCATTTGTTATGGCTGTGATGAAAAAGTAACTTTTGAACCAATTCTTGCATTTATGACCTGTGCGGGCCTGTAAAGCAAAGCAGAAGTCGTTACAAACAGTTTCATTTAGTGACTGCTTGCTTAAGAATGGAGCTGCTGGTCGTAATTGGGGTAACTAAACCAGGACTGCCTATAATTCTTCTGTGGCTGATGCCTCTTAGGGCAAGTCACTCTTGAGTTGCTCTTCAAAATCTCTCTACTGGGGCCAATATGTCAACATCCTTGCCCATAAAAACCGTAAATTGAATACAGTGCTAGAATAAGAAAAAGCATCAAAAACAATGCTCAATAAATCTAGTTTGAAAATAAGTCATTGGATGTGGTTTGGCTATAAAAGATGAGGATCAAATTGCAAAACATATGAAGGGAGGATGATTAACTGTGTTTAAATTTATCAGCTGCCCAAGTCCATTGGACAATGAATGAATGAATCAAAAAAAGGGTGTTCTCTGTTGTGATGTTTGTCTTCTAAAGCAATATCCCTGCAGAGATATGGCTCCAACTCTGATATTATAAAGATCTTGGAATTAAGGTGAATAATAATGAAAAACCTGGCAGTTTTCTGGCATTGGGGTAGAGTAAGCGCTGGGCCCTTATGGGAAGTTCTATAGAGTATTGGGTATATGGTTCCTACACTTCCCGACATCCACAATATCTTTATTATATTGTCCTGCTTTTTAAAGTGTAAGCCACCAGAGCTACTTGGAATTGGGTAGCCTCTCAACTGAAATAAACATCCAGAAAATTGTAGTTGGACGGAGTTGATCAAATCCTGAACAAAAAAGAGGGGAAAAGTTTAAAAACAAAAGGCAATGTGTGAGGCAAGATTTGTAGGAAGGCATTGAGAGCTTTACAGTATAATAAACTAGATTTGGCTGCATTTCTTTCTCTCTTGTCTCATTCCTTAATTCTTTAACTTTGCTGTCTTTGAATTATGCGTAATGTTCTCCTCTCCCCCCCCCCCCAAGGAAATTGTGTGATAGGTATGTATTTATGGACTAACGTTTATCTACTTTTTTTGTTATACTAACTCTTGTGTGGACAATTTTGTTTGTGAATATATTTTTTGAAAATATATGTTCTACTATTCCAAAGTAGATGTGATCCAACATAATGTTTTTTTCCAGTCGCCCAAACCTTTTGGTCACCAAACTCATTAGTTTCCTACCAGGATTCTACTTCAATTTGCTCATTTTTTTTGTCTTTCAATATCTGAATTCTCCTTTGTCTGGTTCTTTCTGATCATCTCTCACCAAGTGCCATGCCTGTTCCTCCACTTTTGGCATAAGTAGATATTTTTCTCTTTCCTCTGTTATGCACAGGTTGGTACTTTTCCAACCCCTTTGTCTCATTCCTACTTTTCTTGTATTTTACTTGTGGTTTTCCTGTCTTTGTTTCCATTTTTTTCTTGGGCTTAGACGTATAGAACTTTCTCCTTTATTTACCCAATACCTCAACCACCACACACAGGGGTGGGATTCTACCAGTTTGTACTTATTCGCTAGAACTGGTTATTAATATTCTAAGCAGTTTGGAGAACCGGTTGTTAGAAGAAATTACTGGCCTAATCCTGTAAGGAAGGAAACATTCTGGTGTTGCTTACAGAAACTGCATCTCCGTTAACCCTTATTACATTCTTGGCAGGACTGGACTTCCTGTCT